TCATCCCATGTCATCGCCGCCAGCCGTTGCAAGCGAGGCCTCATCTTTTGTGACCTCGCTGAGCATCCATCCTGCAGACTCCTGGGGAAGCTGGGCACTTTGAATTCCCAAAAGTCGAAAGGTGAACCAGCAAAAGCGTTGTTTATTTTCGCGCGTTTCTCGAAAACCTTGCATCCATCATCCATGTGGCATTTTTTCATGGAAAACCAGAGGGGATGTACATGAAATAAGGGAGAAAAACCTTGTACAAATGGCTAAACAATGTTTGGACCGGCTCCTTGGCGTTGCATCGGAACGATTGAGTCCCACACAAACGGAGGGTTGCTCCATGGGTTATCCAAACATCCAACAGGTCAACGCCAAACCTTCCAGCTGTATATCCATACTGTATCCCATGATATCCCATGTCTTTCTTTATCAATTCACTGGTGGCCGTAAACTTCCAATGTCTTCGCCAATCTGTTCCCATGCAGTCGGTGAACTCCCGAAAGATTACTATAGTTCTGGCGATTTCTCATAAGATACCCTATGGTAAACTAATATAACTATGGAACATCACCATTTTTAATATTTTTACTGGGTAAATCAACCATGAAATGGATAAATTTTAGCCATTTTATCCAGTTTCAATAGCAATTCTCCCGGCCATTATCCCTAACACTTTGCTATTGAAAAATCACCATTTCCAATGGATGGAACACCCCTTGGCCTGGCCCAGAGGTCCATCCGTGAAGCGCGGCTCCACTTCCTCATCCACCAGGATCTGCGGCGCAAAAGAACGGCCAAAAAAAAATACGGTGAATGTTCATGGAATAAACCACGGAATATATGAGAGAATCAATGAGGATAGTGGATGAAAGATTTATTCCATTTCAATGAGTTATTCCATAAAAATCATCTATTTTCATGGAATATATGGGAGAATCATCTATAAATTGCTATCAATGGATGAAAACTATATGGGGGATTTCATCCATAACTGGATGATAATGGATGGAGGATATGTCCTAATCTATTGCATTCAATTATTCAATTACTATGTTTATATAATGTTTGTTGATTAAAAATGGCACCCGACAAACATATGATGAACATATCGACCACAAAGCCGCTTGTTGAACAGGGGCACCACCTCGTAGGATGTTTTGACTTTTCTGCTTGGTGGTGCAATAACCATCTTGAAAAATATGAGTTCGTCAATGGGAAGGATGACATCCCATATAGTATGGACAATAAAATTCATGTTCCAAACCACCGACCAGTTTTATACTTATCTTGAGGATGATAATGATCCATCATGGAATCGCGGGCTATTTGCAGGCAAAGCGAAATCAGTGTCCAAAACCAGTCTCCCGTCACCAAGTCCCAATCCATCCAGCACGCCTTGTCGGAAGTCTTTAGTGCTGATAGCAGCGCCACATCAAAGCCTGGCAGAAGAGCCCTCTTAAGGCATGGTTTATGGTCATCCATCTATTGGAAACTCCTTATTAAGTGGATATATCAATCCCTATGAAAATGAATTGATGAATTGATGACCATCTCCCGACCCATCTTTAGACCAAGGCCTCGTTCCTAGGACTGCAGCTGGGCAACACTTTCCAGAGGCTTCATTGATGTCGATCAAACCCAACTTGCACATTGCTGCCATGGTCGCCTGGCAGAAGTACATCGGACTCCGTTCTTACTCCATCTGTTTGACACGATCAACCTCATATGAATCACACAACTTTCTGTTTCGGGGAATCTTCTTTGACATTCCCTCCCCACCCAAAAAAAACACGACTCTTTCATGGAGTTCATGTGTTTGTGGCCCTCACAAGCCACATCCCCCGGGCATCCCCCGGCCTTTTGGGCCGCATCTGGTGCTGCATCATCCAATTTGTATTTCAATGCCTCATCCATGGAGTCCTTGGTGGGCCACCACCGGTCCACCGGGCAAAACCGGTCCGTCCACCGGTAAATGCCTGTTCAAAAATGACCAAGTTGGTGTGTGTATATGTATATATATAGTATATTATATATTATATATTATATATATTATATTATATATTATATATTATATATTATATATTATATATTATATTATATTATATATTATATATATTATATTATATTATATATTATATATTATATGTTATATTATATATTATATTATATATTATATATTATATATTATATTATATATTATATGTTATATATTATATATTATATATTATATATATTATATATTATATTATATATATTATATATATTATATATTATATATTATATTATATATTATATTATATATTATATATTATATATTATATTATATATTATATATTATATTATATATTATATTATATATTATATATATTATATATTATATATTATATATGATATATTATATATTATATATATTATATATTGTATATTATATTATATATTATATTATATATTATATATATTATATTATATTATATATTATATATTATATATGATATATTATATATATTATATTATATACATTATATTATATATTATATATATTTATTATATTAGATTATATTATATATTATATATATTTATTATATTAGATTATATTATATATTATATATATTTATTATATTAGATTATATTATATATTATATATATATATATTATATTAGATTATATATATATTATGTGTATATATATATATGTACACTTACACCTCACTATGCCTCTGTTTAGTAAAGATCCTAAGTTTTGATCCCAAAATTCAGTCCTTGATCTTGGAATTTCATTCGGAAACAAAGATGACCATATTTCATCAAGGACTGGTCATTGTTCACCAAATTTCATTCGGATTTCATCATTTTATCCGTGGTCGGCCAACAAAGTGACCCATCCACATCTGCCCAGATGCCACCAAGAAGAAACTGTGCTCGTTTCTGGCTGTGCGAAGCTTCACTTGGAGCTCCTCTGAAAAAGGCTTTGGATCAGAGCCACCCCCAACAAAATCATGGTGTTTCGGTTGGGGGTTTACTGGGTTACAAAATAAATTATCTATTGAGGTTTAATAAGAGTATTGGTTATCCTACAATCCTCATAGGTTGACGTCTTTTCGGTCTTAGTGAGGACGGTTGAACCATGAAAAAAACTCTATGGACTCAGTTCCTAGTTCCTGTGAAGTCATGGAAGTTCCGCTGGGCCAGGCAGCTCCAAAGACCGGTCCCAGACTTGACCTGAAAGCCTCTCCTTGGTGACAGCAAGACGCTCCTGGCCAATTCGCAGCAGATTTGGAGCGGAAGTGGGATTCCACATATCAAAATGCCATAAAAATACAGAAAATCCAGAGTTTTAATGCAGCACGACCACCGAAGGTCGACCTTCAAATGCGAGATGCTCAGCTAAGGAAAGAACCATCGCCGTTTCCACATTTGCTTTAAATCGGATTTATATAAAAGGGTGGTTTCTGCCAGAATCCATGAAAGTCAAGGTGGTTTCTCATCCTTGGCCGCAAGGTGCTACTTTCCTCCCATCCCGGATCCTCCATGCTTGCCCCATCCAGCAAAAGCTTTTGAGCTGCATCCATCTCCTGAAGTCTGCCCAGGCTGGGGCCAACGTTCACTAGGTCACTAGGTCTCACTAGGTCCCATCAAGATCTACAGTTACAGCATTCCCATCCTCCGTTCATCTGAAAAACATTCCCCAGAAACATCCAGAAATCATGGTGAAATAGGGATCAAGGTCCACATATTTTAACACCATGGAATGAGCGGGATGGGATCATCATCCCTGCGTCCCAATAGACGTCCGTCCTTGATGGTCACCACGAGCCCTGAAGGGCACAGTAGGATGAAACCTGAATGTATCGTTTCCTTCCTCCAAGAAGGTCTACATTCTACATCCAATCCCATTCTACCATGTGGTGTTGCCTGGAAAAAAAAAAGGTACCAATAAATTAAGAATCCCATGGTTTATCATGGCTTATCATCATGCTTACCCCGCCCCCCCCAAAAAAACTTGTGCTTTGAGTGCAAATCCGGCATTTTCACACACAACCAGAAAAATGGACAAAATAGACATGATTTTTCCCAAGAAATTGACTCCATTGTATTCCCACAAATTGAACAACCCAATGACAGATGATTTTCCCAAGATTTTCTCTCCTTGACGCTGGGCACAGAGCCATGTGTTTCGGTTTTCACCTCCAAGCGCTCCACATGACGATCCGCCAACCTGGCCACAAGCCTTTGACTCGTCGCCTGGGTGCTATGGCGTTGCAGAAAATGGTACAGTTTGGGTTGGTGGTTGACCTACCCCTCTGAAAAATGATGGAGTTCGTCAATTGGGATGATTATTCCCAATATATGGAAAATAACAACTGTTCCAAGCCACCAACCAGGTACTTTTAGGTTGGTAAAATTGTTGATAAACATCTCAAAGTTCATGATCGGATAAGTCTCAAACACAAACTTCTGTTCAGCAGAAGGGAGGAAGGAGGCTTCAAAAAAACCACACAGAATACGCATGAGGATTCTCTCTCCCTGGATGTTGTCATGATTCTCGCTGGCAAGACACCAACTTGATGTAAGCGTTCCTCAGCTCCAGCTGGGTGCTGGAAGCTCCCCACAAAGGAACGAACATTTTATGTCACTCCTGAGGAACACCCCACTTCTATATCAGTATATGTACACATCTAGGTATGTACAATGTATATACATCATGCATGATACATATATATATATATATATTAATTAACATTAATTATATATATACAGAGAGAGAGAGATAGATAGATAGATAGATCGATAGATAGATAGATAGATAGGTAGATAGACAGACAGACAGACAGGCAGATAGGTCGGTAGATAGATAGATAGACAGACAGACAGACAGGCAGAGAGGTAGAGAGATAGACAGATAGACAGATAGACAGGTAGACAGACGCAGACAGACGCAGACAGACACAGACAGATAGACAGACAGATAGATAGATAGATAGATCGATAGATCCATCGATAGATGGATAGATGGATAGATAGGTAGATAGGTAGATAGGCAAATAGGTAGATAGATAGAGATATAGATATAGAATGATATAGAAATAGATATAGAAATAGATATAGATATAGACTTAGATACTGATATAATATATATTCTATAATTTTATGTGAATACTATATATATATATTGTTGTCTAGATATATGCATGGACAATATCAATGTTTCCATCTTTCAATCCCCAGGACTCCCCCAAACCGACCCCTCCCCAACGGCCATGGACCGAGCATCGCAATGAGGCCGAGGCAAGCAGCCATGCAGAGCTGCATGGAAAGGGCACCATGAAGACTTAAGCTCGCCAGAAATGTGTTGAAGCCACAGATACCTTGGGATTACGAGAGAATTGCTATCAGGGATAATTCTTATGGGAGAATTCCTATGGGAGAATTGAGAAATTTTGAAACCATTTGGAAATACCTGGGATTATGATGCGATTCTGAGACTATGTTGATGGATTCCAAATGTGGGAATGTTGATGGGATTGTAATGAGATTGTGGATTCCAAATGTGGGATACCTATGGGGTTATCATGAGATGAAATGCTGATGGATCGCGTTGACGGGATACATAAGTTGTTTGAAAATTCACAGGATTATGAAAATCAGCTTATTTGAAGGTTTCCAAACAACAGGGGATACCCCAAATCATCCAAGTCATTACACCATTTTGGCATTGAAACCCATGGTTTGGGGGATCCACTTTTAGAGAAACCCCCATTTGGATGTCAATGGATTACTGGGGGATTATGATGGGATTCTTGCGGGATGTTCTGGAGCATACTGGATTCTTATGGGATTTACATGGATATACGACAGGGGTAAAAAAAAAAACACTTGGAATCATTTATTGGATGGTTGGAGACTAGCTAGGGTAAACTGGAATGTAAACATGAAACGCTGGGATCTTACATGGCAAGAACGGGGATTATGGGAGAAAAAACACAAAACTTGGGTGATAGTGTAAAACAGTCCTTGGGTTTACCCAACTGAAACCACCCAAAACATTCATCACCCAAATGGCATCAAATGGCGAGTATTAATGAATCAATCATCCAAAAGATTAATCACCCAATTTACTGTTAGAATGGGTGCAACGATTGCTTAATCAGCCAGACATATGTGGCACCTTGGGGAAAGGTGGCTGCAAGACGGATCTTCAACACTCTGGGTTCCCAAGAATCATCCGAATAAGATTGTATGGAATTGTGGAGGTATGAACTTGTCCTTGAAACTCAGGATGCTGACATTTCACGTTGATTTCACGTTGATAATCGAGGTCTGATCCGGTGCACTCGCTTCCATCACTAGCTCCATGAAAACTGCAGCCAAACGTGCGGTTTTTACAACGACCATAACATATATGAAATCATGGAAAAATATGATAAAAACCTGGATTGTGTTCATCCCTAGTAGATTAGATTGTCATGGTACACCCGAATTTTCCTCAACAAACAGTCCAGCGTTTACCCTTGCCCTTTCCCAGTGGCTCAGAGCAGCTCCTATCTGGCATTTACCTTGGGAGCAGCAGCAGCATGTGGGATCATCCCAAAATGGTGGTGCAATAACCATCGTCAATGGGTTTCGGATGACATCCCATATATGAAATGGAAAATAATCCATTAATGTTTGAAACCACCAGATATTGGTCAAACAACCAACTAGCAACCAATCACCAGTTAGCTGTTCCTAATCCCATTAAATTTAGAGACGAAATTAACCCCATTAGATCCAACCTAAAGGTTGTCACCCAGATGGTTCATGTCCCATGAATTGGTTTAAGGGGAAATCTCTCTTTGGGGTAAAAAACGAATGGTATCCTGTAGATGTTCCCTTAAATCCGTCCATTGAATGAAGTATAGATAATATAGGGAATATAACAGAATATAATTGAATATAACATCAAATTTGGAACGGGATAAATATGAAGTTAAAGAATCCATGAAAGTTAGTGGTTTCCAGCATCTTTTCCTAGCTGCTTACATGTCCATTACATGGTGGTTCAACCCCGATCTTCTTCGTCGCCATCAGTCAACGCCGGGCCGCGGCGTGAGGTCAGGATCACCTGTCCGGGCTGTTCCAAGCTGAACTAGGGTGGACCTTGATAAAACCATGGGATAGTGTGGGCTACTAAGGGAAATATTCATTGGGTCTGGGGATATTCATATAGGAACACTAATGGAACTGTAATAATATAGGAATATCATATGGCATACTGCGGTACATCTAATTCCAATCCAAACGTTTACGGATGGTTAAACAAGTACCGATTTTCTAGTGAGTCCTTCGAGATGTTCCAAAAATCAATAGGGGTTTACCTGTTTACCACATGATGTGTTATCCCTATGTGCTATCAGGCACCTAAACTATGTGATATCATGGAAGAACATTCGTTCCGCCTCCTTCACGTCCACCTGGGACTCGAAGATCAAGGTCTTTTCTTCGAATCTCAAGGGGCTCACCGGCCTGCAATGCGATACTCCGAAGCGGAACTCATGAAAATAAAAACCGGTAGAACAAAATGTAATTGATTTAAGTGGGGTTATGCGACATAGTCATGTGTATATACACGTATTTGTTTGTATGTATTCTCATTTAAAAAAATGGGGTCGCGTTTCTGCATACTACTGCGGCACGATGTTCTTGCACGCCCATTTGCTACAATTGAAACTTATATCTTTGAGATCTAAGGCGAGAAGTCCCTGGCCTTTTCTTGTGCACGTCAATGTTCGTGCTCGAAGTGCTTTGTTCAGGAACCGAGTCATTGCCGGTGTTGGCGACCTATAATACCACAACAGGGGTCTGGAAATGAGCAGAAAATCATACCAACATCAGTTTCACAACCCCTTGTATTACAGTACACATAATCATGATATGTGTATATATATACACCTATATCATTTATATATATCTATAATCATACATATATATATATACAAAACAAAATCAATTAATATTCAATTAATCAATATACACATCATAGTAAATGTCTTTGAGAACAAGCACCCTGCCTGGCTTCGGCATCGCAGCTGCGGACGTGCCACCACCCGGTGGAATCCTCCTGGGTGCCGCTGAAGCGGGCCGATGCACCGGGATGACATGGTTGCCTCATCTGGAAATGGAAAAAAAATGGGGAAAAAATCCTCATGATGATTCGTTCTATCTCACTATAGTCACTATATTTCATGATATCCCCAGGAATGGTTGTTGATATTGCATAGATGCCCATAATCCCCATGTTAAAGTATTATTCCAAGTGTACCCCTTTGTATCCCGCTTCATATTTCATTGATGTACCCTGGACCCCACCTCTCGCGACTAAAATAGGCAAGCTGCGAAGCCTGCAAAGCTGCATGGCAGCCAAAGCAACCATGGCGACAGAGGACGTGTCTCTGTAAACTGTCTATTTAGTATTGTTTATAGTCTATATTATATTTAATCTAAGTTATCGACCACTATTCGTTTACAAGTCCTGGTATGCTCCGCAGTTTCAGGCGGTTACCCGGTAGGTACCTGCAATGATGTTGCACTCGGTAGAACATCATGTGAAAGGGGATGCAGCCTGTACCTAATGTGCATTTGCTGAATCTCATTTGTACTCCCAGAAATTCACCAACCTGGTGGCTGCAATGTCTGGTGGCTACAAGCCATCTGTTGAAGACAAAATTGAATCAGCCGAGCAATGCTAGTGTTGGGTCCCTACTGGCTTGGGTGGGCCAGCACAATGTCTCATCGGCCCGGCTTGGCTCTGTTGCTTGCCGGAAGCTGTGCCAAAAAGCTACAGAGGCACGGGGGTGCTCAGTGCAGGGTTGTGCCTCGAGGCATCTGGATGCTGATGGTGATATGAAGCTGGTTGGTGTGAAAAACAGGAAAGTCATTGGGGCCCCAGCATCCAATCGGGAGGGAAAACTCAAACATCTTGGAAGCCACCAACCAGTGATCCAAAGATCCTCCATGGCTGATTTTCCAGATTCCCCTCAAATGTTGGTCAAATTTCCTGAGTCTTACGTTTTTTGTTGGTCAAATTCCAATGTTTCTAGGTCAAATTCAGGGCTTTTCTTTGGTAAATCCCCGCGTTGCTTTCTTAAATCACACTTAATTCTTGGCTAAATCCATCTAACATATCTACATCCTTTTGTTCTTATTGCATGTGACTGCTTAAAACAGTTCAAGCCTTCATTTATTGCCGTAGTATATCATAAATATCATAGTCTGATGATTAGTTGGTTAGCCATTATCAAACCGGTAATCAATTCCTATTGACCACTTCTATGATTATGTCTGGGTTGATAATGGTTATATAACCATTATTTACTGACATTCTCTATGATTATGAACCCCTATGTAACCATCCATTTATGATAATTAGTTGGTTAAATGTTGGTTAACTATTATCAAGTAGTTGGTTAACCATTGTCAACTAATTGATTGATCAATCATTATCAACCCTAATTAACCCCTATTTAACCATCCATTTGTTCCCAGTAAATCATCGTCTGCCGCAGGCTCACACCTTGGGCACCTGCCGCAGCGACTGCTCCACCGAGGGTTCAACCGTCTGCCGCACTGCCTGCAGCAGAGGTGGTCACCAGTGGTCCAGAAAATCGCCGGGGAAAATGGATGGAAAATACCCTCTGGTAGTGATTTGGTTGGGGATATGAATGGTTTTCATGGATTTTCCATAGATTTTCCACAATGATTTGTTGAAGATTTGAAGCCTTTATGGAATATGAATGGTAGGTTCTTGAACTTGAGGGACCAAGACTATTGAATAATTGACGTTTTTTTTGAAACTGACCAATAACTTGAATTGGACATATTGAACTGCCAAACCGTTGAGGATTTAACATGATTTAGCCATCAATCAATGGATTAATGGGTTGATATTGGAAGATCAAAGATCTACATTAAGCTCCGATAGTTTAGGGGGGGTAAAGTCACGCAGCTTTTCCATATCCAAAACAAACCAACCTTCTGACGGAGTGAGCTCAGAATGGATTGATTTGAGGGACATCTACCGGAAACCTTTAGGTTTTTGTCCTCGAATAAAAAGAGGGATTTCCATGGATTTCCTTTAGGTTTTCCAATCATATCCCATCAAATTCTGGGAATCAAAGGCAACAAGTACCATGGAACATCCATTCACATCCCCAGCTACCAGGTGTAAGCCAGGCATCCCCTACCAATCCACGGCACCTCATAGGTCAGGACCTTTGGAATCGGGACCGCAACCTCTTCCAGCAGTGGCCTCCACGGTGGTTGTCCATTTCATGACCGCTAATCTAAGTGATAGATGTCACCCAATGATGAGTTAGCAACTGATACTGACAAGATGTGTATATATACAGTATATTATATACATATTAAATGATTTTGATGTTATATATTATATGAATTTAATTGAATTTATATGATATGTGTTGCCCACTGCAGGTTCCACAACTGTGGATGGCTATGGCCATCCAAAATCATTGGATTGGTACCTCTGCATGACTTCCTGCAAGCGTTCCACCGCTTCGGTCACCACATAGGGCACTTCCTGCGCAGCGGAGCACCGTTAGGCTTCGACTTACAACAAGCAACCCACTTTCGCAATCCGCGATTAATGATGAACCTGATGCCATCGACACACTTGGCTCTGAGGAAAAAATGGTCTGTGGCAGAATGTTTCAGGCCAACTGCTGGTTTTGTGGGTGATCCGAGGCATTTGTCCAATCTCCTTGTCTACGTACTCCACAACCGGGCGCACCACCTGCTTTGAGATGCTGATTGACAACTGACTGATCCCAAGTTCCTAAGTTTGATGGCTTTCAATCATTGTATGCAGATGAATGATCAATATATATATATATAACTGTGATTTTTGATCAATGATAAAAAGCAACTGTTTACAGCCGGACCCAGGAAAAAACGAGATTCACAGCAGGGACTAACGTTGAAATACCAACTGAAGTCGTGTCAGTTGGAGATGGGTTCAAAACTGAATTAATATATAGAATTCATGAAAATTACCATGTTTTCCCCACTGTACCAGTAATGTTGGTTGTAATCATTGGGAACACCATTGGGTAAATATGCTTTCCAAATCTTTCCAATATCCAACATTGGTCAAGCATTGGATGGGCACCTCTCTTTTGTTGCTGAGAGAGGCCAAGTGCGAGTTGCCTCTGGGACCTCAAAACCGCAAATTTCTTTTGATCAACCAACCGTTGCGAGTTGAGTAGATTAGCCAAGGTGAGGCCCTGGATGATGTCTGAATTTGAATAACTGGTCTTTCAACTGGTAAGATTTGGAAAAGGTTTTATTCAGCTGTATTACACCAAATTACTATTTGCCGGGTGGTTCAGACACCTATGCCCAAATAAAATGACATTAAGTATACTTAAGTCACTTGGAACCATCCTCTCACTCTAAGAATCTCTTACTGCAGAGTAAAACACAAAAATTCCAAAAGGTGTTGGAAGCCATCCACTCCCCAATGCCGTATATCTTCCAGTTCAAATATATCCTCAGGCAACATTTCCGATATCTTCCCATCCCTGCCTGGGTGAAGGCTTCGACAACTTGCGGCTCTGGCACCTCCAGTGTGACATTGATAAATGAACAAAAATCAGGATAGGATATGTTAATGATATGTTAATGATAGGATTAGTATTGTAGTGTGACGTCAAAACACGAAGTCTGACGTTGATAGTATCTTATATTCGTAATAATTTAATGTATTACAATATATTACTATTGCCGACTCTTGCTAATAATAGTGGATAACATCCATGAGAGCTTTTGGTTACTATTCGTTATACTCTCAATACTTAATACCATCTGGTCATCAAACATGCCTAGCTGGAAAATCACCGAACTAAATGGAGATTTATAGCATGTTATAGCTTGGGAATTGTCATTTCCATGTTTCATTACGGGTAGGTGATATATTTTGTTTAACGCCCATGAAACGTTTGGAAAGTTGTTCTTTGGTGAAGTGTCATCCCATGTCGTCCCGAAAAAAAAAGAATCCATGTTATCTTAAAGGGTTCTTCCCCCCACCACTATGATACTATGATTAACCTGCCGCTGGCCGCTGCTTTTCCATGAGAGCCCGGGTTCTGGCTTCACAATTCCGCGCTGGAAATCCAAAAGCAGAATCGGTTTGTCCCTATGCAGTTCGCTCTGACTTCAACCTCCATTTGCCTCCTAAAGTCATGGCGCAGGTGTCTCAGAACTGCTTCAGAAGGAGCAGTTAGCCTCACAAACTCCAAGCAAATGGGAATATATATACTCAAATTAAATCAAATTAAATGAGTATATTCCCATTATATCAAGATTCCCATTATACCCAAGTAAATGTATGTTTTTACTGTCCTGGACTGATGAGCCAGTCCTTTGTCGCTGTGATCTCTAGATTCAACGCCTGGCCTTGTGTTGCTGGTCCAATACAGAATTCAATCTGGATTTGATACGGTGCTATTGACATGGTTAGAATCACACATTGGGGGAATCGCAATTTACTTCCTTCTCATGGTCTACAGCAGGTTTCATGTAAGTTTCAGCTGCAGATCATGGCTGTGGCATACGAACGAACCAAGTATGAACAGAATTATGTAGCTGAAGATTTATATAATTTCATGTCATTTCATGTCATTTCTATCAGTGGCTCCTGAGTACTCGGCAGAAACTGGACAGATGCACTAGAAACAAAGAATCTGAAGAGATGAGAAGAGTAGACAACATAATAGAAAAAGCATCGAAGAGTAGAAAAGAGGAGAGAAGAGTAAAGAAGAGAAAAGTGGAGAAGAGTAGAGAAGAAAAGCCGCAGGTGCATAGGAACCAATATAGAGAGAGAGGAATTACTCATGATTTATCATGATTTATCGTATCTTTCAATGGCTCCTAGACATCAATGCGCAAGAAACCCCAATGATACGCTACTAGTAGAAGGGACACAAAAAGAAGAGTAGAGTGTAAAGAGGAGAAAAGTAGAGAAGGCATAAAGATAGAGAAGAGAGGAGAGGAGAGGAGAGAAGAGAAGAGAAGAGAAGAGATGAGAAGAGAAGAGAAGAGAAGAACAACAACGACGGGTGCATAAGAACCAATATGAACAGACTTGCTTCAACATTTGATTCTATATGCATGGCTCCAAGATTATTACGCAGGAGAAACCGGACAGAGCACTGGAGCACTAGAAATGAAGAGGTGAGAAGAGTAGAGAAGAGAAGAGTAGAGGAGATAAGATTTGAATAGAAAAGTGTAGAGAAGAGAAGAGTCGAAATCAAAAGAGTGCCGGAGAGTCGAAAAGAGTAGAGAAGAGAAAGGAAGAGCAGAGTAGAGGAGAAAAAACACGGGTGCATACGGGTGCAT